CCCATACCAAATCCATTGTATTTTGGCTGTTCGGATCGCGTTTACTCATTTGCGTCGTAGATATTGGACGAATGGTAGTCATTCACAAAGCTCTTCAGCTAGAGGATCAAACACGTAAGGAGCCATGTTCTCATCAGAGCATATCGCTAATCACATCCCAGGATCGCAACTGAGATGGGCCGTAATGGATCAAATCGTTGTTCACCTTTCGATCAATCACGCTACACTACCTCGTATCCAGACCTTCCTCTCGCATCTACAAATCGGCGGTATGAGCACGCATATGGGAGCAAGTCGGGGTGGTATACGGACGACTTCCAAGGGTAGAAGCAGCGCCGCCAAAACCACTCAGGACGACTTGAAAGTGGGGCGGACCTCCGATAAAGCTTGGAACTCTTTATGCAACCGTTTCACCGGGAGTGTCAACAGAACGCCTAGCATCTCTGAAGAGCCTCTTCGTCATCAGCACGGCATTGAGCTATCCACAATCGTATACTCCGGGAATGACGACGCTACACACAGGAATATGGAGCAGAGTCGATCAGCAGCGACATCGTTATCGAGCTCTAGGGAGGGCTTGACTAGAGAAGATATCGCAGGCTCGCTAGGGGGTGTGAGGGTGCAAAAGGAGTTTCATGTGGTTTATGACCAAATGTGATACGCAGCCTGAGTGACGCGTTTCAAAAGGCTCTCGCATCATATGCATTGATCAAAATATCACGATTTCTCCGTCCGCTTCATGACCAAAAGAAATGGCCAATAGAGATGATCTCGCAAGCGACACTTCAAGTATGATTCGAGATGGCCTATCTAGGGTTTTGCGCAGCGGAGACATTATACTCGCGACGACCAAACAGGAACGTACGTCCCCTTCCATCCAGTCCACATCTTCGCCTCATCCGCACCAGCTACGGGCTCTGCAATCTCTACAAGATTTGCATCGAGTACATCCCGACAGTCATCTTGCTCCGCATTCCTAGCCCAATCAATGGGCTTCTCTCCACCCCTGTCAAGCGCATCTTTGTTCGCCCCATAATGGAGCAGCAGCTTGACACAGTCCACATAGCCTTCTGCTGAAGCAGTATGCAGTGGACTAACATTGTCAAAATCGCACTTGTTGACATCCGCACCCGCTTCTAATAATGCGCGAATGACCGACAGTTGGTCACGACACACAGCTCCATGCAGCGCGGTACCTCCGTATCGACTTCCTGGGACGCTCAAGTCTACTCCTTGGTGGATGATATGCTGACAGACGTGGAGCAACCCGAAAGATGCTGCATAGTACAAAGCGGTTGCATGCTTTGGATACGAAGACCAACTGCTGCCAGCCGAGGAAGACCCGGCGTTCAAAGTTTGGATCCAGGACATGAACGCTTCATGATTGGACGGAGAAAAGAACGCAAGAACCTTTTCGTCATGTTGAATTGATGCTTTCTCTGGAGTTTCAGCTGCTCGTAGATAGTATGTCCAGGATGTGGTCGCATGGCGTAGGAAAGGGTAGTTTGCCAAGCGGGCAGCGAATTCGTCCCCAGATGTTGAAGGACCGCTCTGGAAGCCCCGGAAAGAGAGATAGGTTAGGCAGTCCAAAGCAAGTTCGCGATAGCTTGCGGTTCGGTTGAGTGCAAAGGCTGTCGCAGGGCTGTTGCGAATGTCTTCTGAAAGCAGATAGTCTTTCACAGAAAGGTGAGCGAGACGGACATGGCCTGGCCGATTCGTTGAGACTGTGATCAGACTGCCGCAAACAGCAATTATTTCTTCTGCGCTACTTAGGCACGAGTCTTCATCCAACTCTTCGCAGTCATGTTCAATAGCGATGGCAGAGTGAAGCTCCTCTAGTGTGACTGGCAACACCGTGAATGAGAGCCAGAGTAGGACTTTCCGAACGATGGGTGTATCAGCGGCGGAAACTCTTATCAATATGCTTTCGTAAATCTGTCCGAGCTCCTGTGGGAGGTGCTGGAGAGTGGTGCGGATATCGCGGACGGTACGAAGCGCAGATACTTGATCAAGACTGCACTGAACCAATCGAAACCTGTATTGTTACTTTCATGTGATGCAAGTTCATGAAAGAGGCACTTACATTCCACAAGATCTTTCATGTAAACATGCACTAATCTCATCCCTCACAGACGGTTTCAGCCGTAACAGACTTCGATCAGTTTGTAGTCTGTAGTCGATGTATGTTTTGATGTCTTCATCGACCTCTCTTGTCCAGCCTTCCATCTGAATGAGCTCGAATGAAGCCAGTGCATCCTGGATATCGAGCTCATGCCGACTCGTAAGGAAGATACTGATGTTCTTTCCCAGGCTCTGGAGGTAAGCCATGGATGACAGTAACTCCTTCCGCTGAACGCATTCGTCAATCGCATCGACTAGTAAAATGATTCTTCTCGACGAGGAAAGCAAACATAGCATATCTTTCAGCAAGGCGATGGACGGCCGTTTGTTCGAATGGCGACTATGATCAAAAGCAGCTTCCAACTCGTCATAGCTGGCTCCAGTTTGGGAACATATCTGCGCGACCAAAGAGCCTAGAATATTAGTGGGGTCATGTGCTTCAGCCTTGCGGAAGTCGCAATAGAAGAACGCCGCCAACGTGGGTTGCGGCAAAGAAGGCAGTAAACTCTCGAGAGACTGAATGACGTTTGCGCTTCGGTCAAGTTAATTGTTGTATACTGGAGAGTTCAACACATACTCACAAGAGGATAGTTTTGCCAGACCCAGCTAAGCGAAGATGTCAGCACGGCCACTTCTGATGTCACAATGTTACATACGAAAGCCGCTCAGCCATAGTCCAGCATTGCCAGAGACAGCCCAGGCTTGAAACACCTTCGACTCGATGAACCAGCCGCCTGTTCCAGATTTTCTTGCAGAAGCGGCTGCATCATGGCTCTCCCACGGCGTCACTGGAGCAAGCCAATGTGTAAGAGCTCGGGATCGATCATCTGTGCGCATCAGCTGCTGAAAGTTGCACGTTTTAAAGAGACATACCTAGTTCTGCGCTCTCTATCCTAGTGAGCAGCTTGGAAACATTGCCATGCACATGGGCCGTGGTCTCGTTCAAAGAGATGGTCATCTTCCTGATGTCAAGGAGCAGAGCTCTACAAGGCTTGATGAGCTGAGTCTGAGATGAGTGATGAAGTGGGGGTAGCCTACGTCTCATCTGCGGTCAACGCTAGAAGTATAGTGCTTTTGCATCGCTCTATCCTTTCTAGACAAACTTTCGCGTCACCTTCTTTCAGCTGCCAGCCCATAACCTGGGCGAACACTCGCGCTTTCGCCAACAGAGTTGACCTCTCAGGAGTCTGCTTGCCGGAGTTGATCTTCTTCTCTAGATCCAATAGCTCCTGGAGGCAGCGACTTAACGGGCTGGTCTCGGACTCGCATAGTAGTTGGAATGTGCGGAAACGTGCTGTGTCGGACTCTTTTGATGTGTCGAGCGCGCGGCAGACCTGTTCTAAGCTCTCCAACACATTTCGAAGGTCTCTTATCTCGTCGATGGTTCTGGTGAGGGACCAAGGACTCTGCTTGAGAGCTGAACGGACTTCGTAGCATATTGTTATAATGGAGTTGGCAACCTGTAATACCGTAATCACGTTTGCGGTAACACTGAGAGGGTCCATAGTCGTTCAATGGCAATGCTTTGCTCAGCAACGATCATGGAAGGTTTATATGAGTGCGGGGGCGTTGCATTTGTTGTGGCGCAGTCCAGCAACGTGATAACCTCAAGGCTGAACGAGGCATAATGTCAGAACGACGTTTTCTTGCCATATGTACCAAGGCTGAAAGAGTTAGGCTGCAGTACTGAGGATGGCTGGCACTGCCAACACGCCAGACTGGGTGGTACAGTATGGCCATGCCGTGACCGAGTGCTGGAAGCCGGTGCAACAGTTGCACACCGATCAGCAATGAGCGCTGAACACGCAGTGGTGCCTAGGCAACCTCGCGCATTGCTTGCGCAGGCTGATGGATGCGTCATTCTGCGCGCAACAAGTTGAACTGAGCAGAACGTGTTGGTGGGCTCCCAGAGAAGGAGGGCAGCAGGCAGAACAAGCCGGAGCGCACTGTGCAGATCGCAATTACCGGGAAGGCCCACATCTGTGGGGGCCATCCCCCATCCACCTGCCTACACATCGCGAACAAAACAGATCGCAAACACGAACATGTCGACTACACGCAACTCGTACAATCAACGAGAAGCTATCCACTAAGCTTATCCTTCCAATTCCGCTTTCATGGTCGCCCACATACCTCGATCTTAGCCGGCAAAGCGGAGGGGTCGCAATTATCCTACGAGCTATCGCCTGCAAAGCTAGAGGGTTACACTGCCCAGGCGGTTTCGATAAGCCTCCAGGAACGGAACGGGCCTGATAACACCAGGATTGACGCCACCAGGCCATGGATATATCAGCTGGCCCAGCTCGAGATGATCTCGGAAGAAAGGGACACTATGGTGATCATGCCGTCATATGCAGGACTTTTTCATGACCTACAGGCCGGCAGATGCTCGAGAGCTCATCAGGTCTGATAGCTGTGATCGTCCAGAGAAATACAAAAGTCACGATGGTACTCATGCATGGACATGCGTAGTGTTCGGAAGGTATTCAGCCGAACCGTGGACAGGACTATCTTCACTGGAGAGCACATTGACTTTACCTGAACAGACTTCACTCGACATGGGTATGCAGCAATCAAGCGGTTATGCTGGTCTGGTGAAGCGAGAGGCGGCCCAGCTCCAACGATATCCAATCAGCTCCACACCACCGTCCCGTGTGCCTCCCCCTCTGGCAAACCTGGTGAATGCATAATACCTGTCGTGGCTCCACGCACGGTACCTGGCATCAAATAGATACACGTCTTTCGCCCAAGCTCATACGCACACTCTCAGCATGATGCCATCCACAAAACGAACCCATGATGGCGGTAAAACAAATAGTAACAAGAAACCACACAAGCGTTTTAAGCAAGATGGTGTTTCTCAGGAACATCGGAACACGATGGCGGGCGCGGACGAACCCGGCAACGAGACAGCTCATCAGGTCAGCAAGATTTACCTTTGCACTGCTAGTTCTCCAAGTCTCATGTGTGTCTGACTGCCATAGACTTCAAGCAAAACATCAGACTTCCGCGAGCCACGCGATACGCACCAACGACTAGGACTAAAGCTCCAGAGCTCGCGGTGGTCGAACTTCACTGTGCCGAAAAAGGATGACATTGATGAAGCAAAGCCATCTACTCCGCCACGAAAAGTCAAATCTCCTTTGCCGAAACTGGCGAAGCATCAAAGAGTCAAACCGACAGCAATCAAAAGCAAAGAAAACCAAGGTATTCGGAATCCCGCGGGTAGCGCAAAGCCCACGAAAACAAACCCTAGCTTGCTGAACGTCATGGAAAAGATCAAAGACTTATACCAATACCAAAAGATCGAGGACCATCAGGTTCGCCTGCTCATCATCAAAGCCGGACAAGATGACGATGACGTCAATGCGATACTTCAAGTCGTTGATGAGGATGAGTTAGGAACCGACGATTATTGTTATGAGGCTCTCTCTTACCACTGGGGCGAAGGCGAAGAGCTGCATAGCATTATCATCAACGACGAATGGAGTACAGAGCCCATAAGAGATTTCACAGCTGCAGTTCAAAGTGCAACAAAAGTCCTCCATGCCAAGCGCCTATATGTACGGTCAAACCTGCATAGCGCTCTGAAACGCCTGAGGGCTCAGGATAGGTCGGTGGCTCTTTGGGTAGATGCACTCTGCATCAATCAGGATAATGAGATCGAAAAGACAACGCAGATTTTGAAGATGAACACGATATACCGAAAGGCTTACAACGTCTGTGTCTGGCTGGGTATGGACGATGCGGACTTTCATTCCAGTAAAGCGATGGCGTTTATCAAGGAAGTTGTCGACCTGAGCAAGCTGAACGACCTACTCACCGACGACCGGTACATTCCTCAGTGGGCGAGTCTATTCCAATTACTCAAATGGAGCTGGTTTTCACGACGTTGGGTAATCCAGGAACTAGCACTGGCGCAGGAAGCGACGGTCCACTGTGGTCAATCCCAAGTCCATTGGGAAGATTTTAGGGACGCCATCGGAATTTTCCATCGCTACTTCAAGTCTTTGCAACCCAGAATACGAGACCCAAAGCTCGGTGGCAGCCCAATATCGGATCTGGAGCCTCTTGGCGCAAAGCTCCTTGTGGAGATGACTAGTAATCTATTCCGACGCAAATCCAACGGCTCATCTGAATCAACTATGAGCTTGGAAAAACTGGTCTCTCAATTATCCACCTTTAACACATCTGATCCTCGAGACACCATCAATAGTTTGCGCAACATTTCCAAGGAGTTGAGCCATAAGCTCAAGGGCTCAAGGACGAGTCGTTCTAGCTCTCCCGCCCGTAAGGAGCCCCCAGTACCTAACTATACACTGGATCTCTTCGAAGTCTATCGAGATTTTATTGCATGGGTGGTAGAACAATCAGAATCTCTAGACATCATCTGTCGTCATTGGGCTTTGAAAGAGAAAGAGAGACAACTCGACAATGGTCCGACAGCTGCACCGAGGCTCGTAGAACTACCATCCTGGATCCTCACGGCAGAGGATGGATCTTATGGATTCGGCGAGGCAGTTTTCAGAGGCCGCAAGGCTGGCGACAGTTTTGTCGGCCTTCCTGGCGAAGCATCGTACGCCGCTTCTGGCCGCACTACGCCCAACGTTCGCTTCGGGAAAAGTAGTGCGAAGGAATCATCGCCAAGTCCCATGCCAGGTTCTAACGCCAATGCCATTACACATGATACGTCTTTGATAGTCATGGGTTATCTCATCGGCACGGTTCGCTGGCGTTCATCACCTATACGATCCGGTATCATTCCCCAGAAGGGCCTAGAAAAGCTAGGGTGGATTGAACAAGATCCTCCGGAAAACAGACGAGTACCCGACCAGCTCCGTCGAACATTGGTCGCCGGACGTGGACCCAACGGCACAGATATACCGACATATTACTCTCGAGCTTGCAACTACTGCCTACTGAACGAGACCCCAAACGGCGATATTAACATCGATGAACTGTTACGCGCAAACGAAGATGTATCGCCGCAGAGCATCGTCAAAGACTACCTGGAGCGGGTTCAAGCGGTGACATCTAACAGGGTGATTCTCCAAGGATGTTCGCCAATATCGCACTCTGTCCCACCATCGCCAATTTCACCTGGTGTACATAGGGCTTTGGACGACCTGGTAGGGCTTGGGCCGTTGGAAACTGAAAAGGACGATGTCATTGCAATCTTCCATGGATGTAGCGTGCCTGTTATCTTGTCTCCCTTGAGGATGGGCAACTACCTTGAACCACAAGAATACAAGTTCCTCGGCGAAGCCTACATCGATGGCAAAATGGATGCAGAGTGCATGTCGGAAGGGCATGAGTTGATGGAATTTGTGTTGCACTGAAGGCAACCATGGCACTCTCCCAGGCGCGCTTGTAAGAGTCAAGAACATATTGGCACTTTCGAACTGCAATGCACGTAGTGTTCCAACCGCAACATAAGATCAAACCTGCGGTATAATTCTCTAGTTCACATTGTTCTCCTTCTCCCATTGCAACACATCCAAGACTACCTCTTTGATAGTGTTATGGCCACTCTTCCACTGGGTTCCAAAGACAGCGTCCGACTTCGAAGTGTCAATTTTCGCAAATTTCTCCCGTCCCCTTCGCTCGAGATTAGGCTGAAGTGCAGGAATCCGCTTGGCCAACTCGGGAGATTCGGCACGGAGATCGACTGCAATTGCTCGCAAGTCCATGATCTCGGGCGAAACTAACAGATAGCGTTCGTTGCCAGGTACTTTGTTCCGATCAAGGGCGGTGACGTGGGATTTGGCCACGTCGTCAGTGTTTCTGGAGTTTTGTCAGCAAATTGCAAAGCAACACTAGTTGAGTGTACCAAAGCTCCGCAAGGGCAGACCAAACCGGCTGGCTGACTCCCGGAACTCGAGGATCTGGAAAGACACTCACAGAACGAATGGAAGGATGTTGTCAACACCCTGAACGTCATCTCCAGCCAACAGCGCGGTATACACAGCAGAGTTGCCTCCCGGACCATTCGCGATAGGCTTGTATCCTGGTTGTGGGCTTCGTCCCGCGATCAAGGGCGGCAGTAGCATCACCACATCGAAGTCTGGTCGATTCGTGTCCACCCATGACCATGTCTTGTGCTCCGCGTCGGTCTTTGCAAACACGTACGCAGACAGGGGGTCGTTCTTGGCCTCCTCGAAAGTGATGGGGTTGAAGTTCTTCTCCGAAATGACGACATTGGGATTAAAGAAATCGGGCAGAAGCACGGTTTGCACAATTGATCCGCAGATGACAACTCTCTTGACGGTTTTGCTCTTCTTAGCCGCTTCCAGAATGTTCTCGTCAATGGTCCACGTCGGCTCGATCATCTCTTTTACAAGGTCACTTCCAGGGCCTGCAAGGGGAGTTGCGAGATGTACGATGGCTGTCGCGGATGAAGAAGGCTCATCAAAGGCTCCAGCAATAGTCATGTCCGGGATGACAGTAAACGTTAGTAGACCGGACTTGACGGCGTCGGCAAACTTGGACTCGAAGAAGGCGATAGCGGAAGTCTTTCGAATGACTATGTTGACTTTGTGGTTTGCACGGATCAAGTGCTCAAGGGTGATTGCACCAACGTTTCCGGTGGCACCGGTAAGAAGGACGGATTCTTGAGCCATGGCTTCTGACATTTCAACGTTAGCACCTGAGGCCGCCCAAGCTTCAGGGAGATTTTCTTACCGTGTAATCGGTCGGATGAGCTGAAGGGGATAGTAGAAGAGGTTCTAGACTAGTCCACGGGTTGCTGATTTCGGTGCCGTTGCTGTCTGAATGGAACTGGGAGTACAGGATCTGATATTTAAGTAACACACATGGTGGAGTAGTTGTCTTACAACCCACAACTGCCCTCTTTCAATCATATTCGTACGAGGTTCGATGTTTGCAGCACATTACTTAGCAAGATCAGTAACCACCGTTATTAACTTACCAACCCACCAACGTACACACCCAAAGTCCCTCGCGAAAAGGCGTCAAGTTCGAGCGCGAGCCCACGAGAAGATCACACAAGCAAGATCAGTAAACATAATGCCACGGACCGAAAGCCGAGGCTAACCCAATTAGTCTGTCCAACTCCTCGCTTAGCTACCGTGCCAAAAGGGCCAATGCCTCGGACCAGAAATCTAGTACAGCGAATATAACAGACTGTATGTCTAGTATGTGCAGTTGCATGGAAAATTCGCTTGTTGCACTTACAGAGGTAACTCGCAAGGCTGACACGTCGTATTGCGCCCTCTGACGTCACACACATCCATTGACATCTTGGAAGGTAGATTACCTGGGCAGTATTCGGAACGCATCCTATCTATGGGCAGTTATGAAGCATGCGTATGTAACCGAAGGAGATACTCCACTTTGCCTGCGACAAAAGAGAAAGGTAAACCTCTAGAAGGTGTCATGTTGGTGAGTGCACTGGTGCTGGTGACATGGAGTTAACGTTAATCCCCCTTTCATTCCCACGCGTTTGCAGCGACCGGTGAGGATAGCAGTACAGTAAGCACAGGGATATATTCAGAAGATGAGGCTGAGCAGCACATTGGCGTTGCAGGATAGGCGCTCTACCTAAGTCCCTAGGCAGACCACAGCTGGGCATGAACCAAGATGCGGCCCGCTCGCTTCATCTCGGCCCCCAAGACCCAACACGCGGCGAATGCTCGAGATGCATTTTCCTACTTGGCAAATGTCTGGCGCGGCTGGGGCGCAGTCCGAGCGGGAAGTGAAAGTGTGGCGGAGTTTCAGGTCCGAGATAAGATCATAGGTAGGCAGGTAACAATCAAAACCCCATGGGCGTTCAGATGCTTTGCGATACCATCCCAATGCGACATTAGATTCACTATTCACATGCCATGTATGAAACTCCATATAGGGAAGAGCGATCGAGTGTGGATGTCGGTCCTGGGAGGATCCAGCTATTCGAAAGGTGCGAGTTAGGCGCGTGGTTATGACGTCATTGCAACCTTGGAACTGCTGCTAACCAGCGTAGGGAGTCCACGGACGCGCAAAACAGCGACTACAGCATTGATACTATTCATGAATCACGTACTAGCTCAACTAAACCGGAGAGCTTTGCCACGAGTAATGGAAATGAATCGCACGACGACGACTTCTTGCTTTTGACCCGATCCGCGGTGTTCCAGCCTCGGCGGCCGGCCAGGCGACCATTTCTGACAGGATGGCGACCCGGAGCAGTTTTGTCGCTCGTAGGAACGATTACAGTCACTATCTTCAACCTCATCGTCACGATATGGGTATGGAAGAACCCTGAAAACATCATTGAAGGAACCATCGGAACGTTGAGCATTGGCAACTGTGGACAAACAAGAAGATTGAACGTCAGAATTCATCTGCTCGTTAACATCCTCAGCACTCTACTGTTATGCGCAAGCAACTATTGCATGCAGGTCCTCAGCGCCCCCAATAGGGCAGAGCTTGACCGGGCTCATGCGCAACGAGTATGGCTGCACATCGGGGTACCAAACTTGCGCAACTTCAGACACATTGGACGCAGTAGATTAGCCGTCTGGCTTCTACTGCTTTGCACATCTGTGCCACTCCACCTGTTTTTCAATTCAGTGGTCTTCGCCAAACTTCAGGCCAACAACTACGCAGTCCTTCCTATAATAGAGGATTGGTTCCACGGGGCGCCTTATGACACTTCTAACTTTAAGAACCTGACAAAAGATATCACGGAAGAAATGGTGCTTGAGATTGACAGATATCGGCCCAATCTTTCTGATGTCGTCGATTTAAGAAAGGACGGCACGATGCCGAGATACAAGAATATCAGCACCTGGGATTGCTTTACCCAGTACGACAACCATTACGTCTCTGGAGTGGGTAACGTTTATCTGGTACAAGACTACCCCACAGTGTGGCGGAACAACACAGCGTGGCAATTGTGGCGTAACCCCAACACCTCGTATTATGTTTGGGATGACATCAATTTCCCGTCAGATCGCATAGACCGGAAATCGCCGCACAAACTCGACCTTACGCCTACAACGCAGAGACTACCCGAAATAGCCTCGCCAGAGATTTATCCATCGAACACGTGGCGCTGTCCTTCCCATGTAGTCAAAGGCTGCGATGTTCGGAGTCGCTATGAAGTGCCGCACAATCGGTCAGATTGGCAACCTTATGGCAGCCGAATCAATCATTGCATAGTCGAGCAAGTCGAGGAATTCTGCAAACTACAGTTCAGCTTCTCTATCGCACTCGCTGTCATACTTTCAAACATCGTCAAGGTGGCCTGTATAGCTGCGACGCTCTTCATCTGTGGAGACCATGCTCCTCTCGTTACGGTGGGCGATGTAGTGGCGACATATCTCGATGAGCCTGATCCGACAACCCGCAATCGCTGTCTATATTCCAGACAGCTTATCGAGTCTCTTTGGGGAAAAGAGGATACGTCCCAACAAACAGCGCGGAAATCCATTCCCCAAAGATACAATGCAAAAGAGGAGAGGTGGAGGAAGGCTCCCAGCGAGGGTAGATGGATCTGGACATACGCAACGTAAGTCAGCAGACCTTAACCCACGATCTAAGCTTAACATGCCCGGGCCAGTTATTTTGCCGTCTTCGTTTTCGGCATTCCAAGTCTTTACTATTCTCTCATGGGTATGCCCTCGGACCCACGCGAACTATGGCAAATCGGTTTTGGCACCGTAAACGGCGCCAACCTGTTCAGCTCCAACCTTCCGCTCGTAGGTAGTATCATGCTTGCAAACACACCACAAGTACTACTGTCCTACTTTTACCTAGCCTTTAACGCACTTTACACGAACATGCTTGTCGCACACGAATGGGCCTCGTATCTGAACGAGCGCAAACCCCTTCGGGTCACCTCTCCGCGTGGAGGACAGCGAGATACCCATTGGCTTAACGTGCCGTTTCGATATGCGATCCCCATGACGATTATCTCTGGCCTCTTCCACTGGCTCGCTTCCCAGAGTGTCTTCATGGTCCGCATTTCCATCACGGATCAAACGCGTCAACCTGTGAACCAGATCTCGACAGTCGGATATTCGCCAATGGCCATAATCTTGACGCTTGTCATCGCGACCATCATCGCAGGTTTCGGGGCAGTGCTCTCGTGTTTCAAATACCCTGCTGGTATTCCTCTGGCTGCAAGCTGCTCCGTGGCTATTAGCGCTGCATGCCATCCTCCTATGGTGGACCAAGATGCGAGCCTGCGGCCGGTGCAGTGGGGTGCTTCTACACATTCGGGGTGGGACAGCTATCGCCAGGAGACAGTTGGTCATTGTAGCTTCTCGAGCTTGCCAGTTGAGTTACCAATATCTGGACGGCTATATGCATAGGTTGACGAAAGTGCTTCCAAAGTTGTTCATGCGGGGACTTCAGGAAGGACAAAGGGGTTGGGTTGGGTGAGCGACGCGCTGACATCGGCCCACTTTTGCGCGTTCTGGGGCATCGCCGGACTATACCTAATTGGGCTAGCGGATGAATCACATTAATTACTGCCGACCCGCGCGAAGTTGCATCAAATCGTCTCTTCAACACCAGTTTGGTAACCCCACAGTCATCATCTTCAATTTCCCACTTCTCTGTCTTTCGCGCTCGAGCCCGAGGGGTCTTTTCGCGAGGGTACCTTGGTTGTATACATTGGGGGAGGAGATATTCGGTAACGGTGGTTTTCAATTTCCCACTCCATTATTGTGAGCGCTACGTACTACTGCGGCCATCCCGAACAATGATCTGCGAGATCTTCTCTGCTAATGCATAAATGGTGCTCTGAGGATGGCCAGGCGGCAGGAATGGAAAAATACTGGCGTCCACAACACGAAGCCCATCTACCCCAAAAACCTTGGCCTCAGAGTCGACGACGTCCATCTCATCAACTCGCTCGCGAACACCATCTTTGAGTACGCTCTTACCCATTCGGCAGGTCGAAGAGGCGTGCCATACTGTGATCGCGCTGTCTCGGATGACTGCGAGAATCTGTTCGTCGCTGTCCTTGTCGAGGCCTGGGTACGCTTCACTACCCATGTATTCCAGTTGTGCTGCGACGTCCTTTGTCGCAAAGACTTCGCGCATCCTACGGTACCAGGCGATAGCGAGCTCTTGATCGGCTGGATCCGACAGCCAGTTCGGGTTGATGGCCGGTGCAGCGAGCGGATTCGCCGATTTGAGTGTAATGTTGCCTCGAGACAGCGGTGCCACCATGGCTCCAAGGATACTGACATACTTCTTGCCGTTCAGAGGTTGTTGCGCCAGGGGATAACGGAAATTCCCTGCGTACGCGTCGGCAGCGATGTATTCCACCTCGGGCCAGTCGTCAGGAAAGGTTTGCAGGGCATCCAGTGTGCTTTGGCTGAGTTTGTCGCGGATTCCTTCCACCTTCGACAGTTTTTCCCAGCCCAATATGTCGGCCGCATAGGTGAGTAGACCCTTGGCTTTCGTTGTGTACTCAACAAGCGCATTGACCAATTCCAGAGGTCTGAGAAGTATGGAACCTACAGTCTTGAACTTGACGGAGTATGAAGGACCAAATAGAACGTGATCCCACATGTTCTGACCAACACCTGGGGCTGAAACGATCTGGTCAATACCATGCTCTGAAAGCTGATCAGTCGGACCAACGCCCGAGAGCATGAGGAGTTGAGGAGACTGGAGCGTTCCAGCACTCACGATCACCTCGCGACGAGCCTTAATGGTATACTTTGTCAAGCCAACAAGGGCTGACACCTCGACCCCATCTGCTTTAGGCCTGGCAGAAGATTTGTCGAACAAGATTCGCCGCGCTTGTGTATGGGTAAATACCTTGAGATTGCGTGAGGCCTCGGAATTGGCTTGTACGGCGTGTATATAAGCAACCGACGAGCTTCGCGTCTGGTCGCGGGACCGAATGGTACTCTGCGACCATTGGTACCCGAGCAACTTCCCGTTGTTGAAGTCAGTGTTTTCCTGGATACCGAAGGCCTTGAAAGCCTTCTCGAGGTATGACGCCCAGATCGAGATCCAATTTCCGTAGCCAACCTGCACAGGCCCACCGCTATTTGAAAAGCTGGACGCATCGTAAGTGGTCGTGATGTTGTCAAGCGACCGCTCTCCAGGGGCAGTGAAGGTCACTGCTTTGTTGAAGAATGGGGTAAGGTTTGCCATGGTATAGCTCTGGTCATCAACAGCATCCGCCCACATCTGGTAGCTTGCCGTGGTCCCGCGATGGTAAACCATGAAGTTCAAGGCACTGCTCCCACCCAAGCATTTGCCGCGAGCATAGTGGATTCGGCGATTGTTCAGCTGCGGTTGTGGCTCCGTGGCGAAACCCCAGTCTGTCGTCGGTACCATGTCGGCGAGGCTCGCTCCGACTCCAAAGAAGGATCCTGCTGGTGTGGTGCCCAAGACCGGCTTCGCGATCTCGTAAAAGCCTCCAGCTTCGATTATAGCAACGCTGAATCCTGCCTCGGCTAGTCTTACGCCAACTCCAGCACCCGCCGTTCCTCCTCCAACGACGACATAGTCGAAGGTTTGCTCGCCGCCTAGTGTTCCGCCGATAGCACCAAGTGTACCATCAATCAGTCCATCTCCCTGAAGAGTTGATCCAATGGTTTCGAGAATGGGGTCGAGAATGGGGTTGCCGGTTTGTGCAAGTGTTGATGCGACAAGGGAAAACAAGGCTGCCCGTCGTGTAAGAAGTCGCGAAAGCGGCGCCATGGTAGTGGAATGAAAGAACCCCTCCGCGGACACAATGGTCTATGGGGGGACCAGTTATTAACATTTTACCCACATTTGACGTGCGCCATCTGCGTTCTCTAGTCGTTCGGCCGTGCATCAAACTCAATTTTTACTGTCGACTAGGCAAAGCGAGTTGTTGTACGGTCACCCTCGGCGTTGTGAGCAGCGAGTCACGCTGATTCTCCCCTTGACCCATGTGCGAATCAGGGCCGTCCCTAGCGCGTGCTTTATTCTCGCAAGCGCCATACAGCTAGAAGCGGGCTCCATGTCTATCGCATGGAGAAATACACGACTATAAGGGAGATTTGTTCATGGAAACATTGGAAAGACGTGCAGCGAATGTGTCTAATTACTCTTCATGATGCCATATGTTATCTCCATGCGCGCATTTCACTCGCGAACCTGGGTGGCAAGATCGACACCTAGGCTCTATCACGTGTGCGTCCCGAGGCTCTTGACGATCGCTTTTCGTCGATCTTTCTACAGAGTTGCCTTAGTCGGCAGTGCTAAGACGCCGTCCACTTCTAAAGCTAGAACTACCTCTTCGGCCCACTTGCAAGTTGAACGAACCGAAACAGACATTATGTCGGCCCGCCTCCGAGGTTTTGCGCATCATCGAGCATCGCCTAACCATGCCTAGTAAGTCCAGGAGACAAATTATATTGTTCACCTCAGGCTTGAGGGAAGTCGCTACTCGCAATCATACCGTAAGTACACCTGGGCAACCTCAATAAGCAGCCCGCACTAGGACCAGTCCGCAGTCCGCAGTCCGCAGTCAAAGTCAAAAGCGCAGTTATCTGATACGAGGGAAAATCTAAACAGATCTGCGGACTACAGTAACACAAGAGCATGCAAAGTAGGCGAACTAACGTTGATGTAGAGTGTTCTGATCTTCCCCAGGTTGACGTGCAATCTATTCTTTCTCAACTTCTGCCAACGTACTTCTACTCAATACGACTTCTTATGTCCCCCATCTTCTCCGCCTTCCAACGCATACCCGAAATAGCCATCGCCAATCTAAGCGACACGAGCGTTAACAGGAATAACAGCATGCCCACTCCTTGGAACCTCGCCCTCTCCATACACAACCTGCTGGTTCGGCTTCTCGATAGTCTGATGAACCTTCATAGCTACAATCACATCGCACATTAGCCTCAACTCCTTTCATCCATCTTCGTGCGACGAAAACTTACTCAGACCATCGCGCTGGGGCTCAAGCGTGAAAGTGTCGGGTGTGCATTGCACGCCGTAGACCTGGCCCTTTTCAACCCAGGTGCACTTTGACTCGAGACCATCGGGGTATTCCTCGTCGACGTAGACGGCGGTGATTTCGAAGGATACGACTTGTTGGCTGACGTCTTTGTAAGAGCGGGTTACGTTCCAGGCGGCTTGGATGGGGTTGCTGGCGCTGACTGCGGCCGCAAGGGCGAGGGTGATGGCGGGGAGGGTGAAGTGCATTTTGGCGGTTGGAATGGGTTTGTTGGTTTGGTGGTAGGAGTTGGGTGAGTTGGTTCGGACTTGAGATGGAAGCGTGGGTGGATGGCGATGTAGTGAGGATGTTGTGGTTATATATTACAACACCTCGTATTCCGACGTCAGAAGTATCCACGTTACTTCGTAACCTCAACGTCGAGCTCGGTGGTATGTGCGTTGTGTTGACTAACGGGCTGGCGATACGAAGACATGGTGGGATGGGTACATGGGTATCATTGTCAAGAGACGGTGAGGGTGCGTGTTCATACTTGGCACCTAGGAGATGGCGGTCAGATCGATTAGTCCTTTGGAAGCAATGGACAATGTTAATCGAGCCCTTCGGCGAACACCAAAGAACCTGACGTGCAGCTGCAACAGATCTCTTGATGACTGGCATTGTCCGACCATTTCAAGAAAGTAAGCGACGCCATCATCACAGCTAAGCATTCGCGGAAGATACGGGTGTTGCGGGGACCTGCAGGGAGCGTTATTCCCCTCATACACATACGGTAAAGTGCGAAACATATCTGCTCATCGGATTAGTGATCAGACCCAGGCTTGATCCTTTAAATAGGACTTGTTATAGTAGCCGGCCCGATAGAACGAATGATTACTCCAGAGGGTCTCTCCCGATGTCCTAATAGTAGGTCGGTCCACGGCTTAAGAGACGTTCCGGGTGCCGTATCCCGACCCACTTACACACGCCACTCCCGTGACGCCACATGGCGGTGACAGCACCTTCTACTCTTCTGCAAACTCCAATGCATTGAATCGTGGTTTCTGAACATGAGATACCGGTCGTCCTTAGCAAAGTCGCGTATAAAAGATATTGTCTGATTTCGTTTCTAAACATAGTATCTACACGAATAAGTCTACACAGCAATAGCCACAAGAAGAACAAACACATATGGACTTCCCCCCATCCACCGCCAGCTCAGCCTCCTACCTAAAGCCTCAACTCCCACAGGCTCTCCTCATCGCCTTTGCCGCTACTCTTTCTAGCACCAGCAACCATAGTCATCTCCGGCTCTTTAGTCGTCAATGTCGAAGTCGGAGTTGGTTTAACCACCGTCGGGGCAGGCCAGTTGAATCCCGAAGACCAAGCCTTCGACGAAGTAGTCATCGATGCGGTACTCGAAAGAGTAGAGGAAGTAGTCATCGATGCAGTGCTCGAGCGAGGGGGCCAGTTGAACCCAGAAGACCAAGCCTTAGACGAAGTAGTAGTCTTCGACGAGGCAGAAGCAGGCGCAGTGCTCGAAGGCTTCGGCCAATTAAACCCGGAACTCCAAGCACTTGAGCTCGTGCCATACCACTTCTCATCCACATTAACAGACACCTCCCGACCCTCCCTCGCTTCGATCTTCTGCCCCTCCTTCTCGGGCCCCACGTAATCCATCTGATAATCGCGCTGCGCACCAGCTTCATCCGCACCCAACAGCGCCGCCGAGTACGCCAGATACCACGTGCGACTCGCGCCGCCATCAAGCTGCTCGTTGAAATTGGGGTTGGCGAAGAAATCGTACGAAGCTTGTGGGTCGAAGAGCGCTTGGTTGGCTTTGAGGATGCTCTTCCATCCGCCTTGAACTTGCTCGGCGCGGCCGTTGCTGAAGTACGTGTCCCATTCTTCTTGGACGAATTGCTTACGACGAGTGTACGCGGAGGAGGGGTTGAGCGGGATCATGTGGATGCCCTCGATGTATTCGATATTCCCGCCAAAGTACGTGGTGTGGTCAATCTTGTTCTCGAAGAGGATGCCGGTTGCTTTGTTCTTAATGAAGCCAGTGGGTTGGTTCTTGTTGTCGGTTTCCATGAGAAAGTAGTTCTTGATACTACGCGCTTGGACAGCGAGTTGCAGATTTCCTCGTGCCTCCATATTCGCGTCTTGGATGATTCGGCCCCACATCTTGAGTGCATAGGTGGCGAAAGTGTCTTCCGAGGTGGATTCTTGGTCTTTGCCGTCGCCGGATTCGTAGAGGCCCTTTGCCCAGGAGTGACCGTGGAACCAGTCGAAGGAGCGCTGGAAGGGGAATTCCGAGTCACTTACGGGGTTTGCAAAGTCGCGGACTAGGTTGTTGACCCAGGCTTTGTTGCTACCTTCGCCGAGCCATGTAGGGTCGAGATGGCCGATGACGGCAGCGGTGTAAACGAAGTACCCGTAGTGGAAGTGATGATCATTGTATAGCGTGTTTCCAAAGTCCAGACCAAGATTTCCGGAGTAGCTGGCGCGTGACACGACACCCTTCCAGACCTGATCGTAGACAAGTGGCTCGGGCTGCGTGTTGTTGACGAAAACGTTGAAAGCGTCCTTGAGGCGACCTAACCCAGCGGAGGCGTATTGGCTGTTGCCCGTCATGGTGTTCATTGTGTAGATGATGGCAGCAAACTTGGCCAGTCCTTTGCCGGAGTAGTACATGCTGTTCAGTGAGGTCTGCGGAATCATGTTCTGGCTTAGCTCAGTTATGCCAGCTTGGTTGATGAGCGCGAGGGCTTGGGCGTTCAGATTGATGTTCTCCGAGCCTCCAGCTGCGCTGGGGTTCTTGGCCCATGGGGCAAAACCAATACTGTCGGGCAGATCGTTCTCCACCATTGTCATCTTGTCGGAAACAATAGCTCGTGCAAAGCCCTTCGTCGTGGTGACTAGTGTGATGTCTTTCAAGGCGGCCGCAGTTTGTTGGTCGAACGACTCGACATGATGAGGTAGCGCGTACATCAGCAACGGCCGCTCCGTTGCACCGCCTTTGGCCCAACTTATTGTATAACTCCCGAAAGCCCCGTTGACGTTCCCGGATATAGTGCCATTGACTGAGTATACACCGGCGCTATTGTCAAATATGCCCTCTACTGCCGTGCCTGATGGATTCTTCGTGACTTGGATCTTACCGACAAAATCGGAAGGGCCGGTGATGGTCTCACTATTCTCTAACACGAAGGGAGGTGTACCAACAGACCCGTCCGAAGTGGCATAGAGAAGCCAGTGCGACCCATCGTTGAGTACGATCCGATACTTGTGCGTGATACCATTGATCAGCGCAACGTATTCCAGGGACAAGAAGAAAACAGTGGTCTTGATGACTGGTGTCGCTCTGTCGTAAACGGCTGTCATCATGCCCATGCCCTGAACAACAGGAAGAGACATCATGATGCGGGTACCCTGGAGGTTGTTTGGTCGCAAGTTCACATATGTGGAGAAGGCCCCCAAACGTGAAAGGGAGAGATATGTATCCGCCTTTAGTTCTTTTGCGGACAGTATGATGTGTTGGATACCGAGCGGTGAGATGAAAAATCGAGTGTCATTAGCATTTGGAACAAAAGCAAATCTGTCCCGAGTTGTGTGACTAATGGCAATACCTGAGATGGGTAGAAGTTCATGTCAGTATGCGCCTGACATCTGCGTATGTTTTTACGTACCGTTTGGACCACCATCGTTTCGGCGAGCCCACGAGAGAGAGTAAGGGTGTGTCCAGGTCGGGAAAGATTGGCTACCAAGGAAGAAGTTGGCATAAAAC